CCTGCTTACGACGCGCGATCGACACACTTATAAAAAATCGCTTGCGTGAACAAATTATATGCCGATAAGGCACTTTCTACGGCGTGTAAGACGCGACATGATACGAACTTCATATACATTAGACTTGATGCACGGCGCACTTGGTGTTGTGACTACGGGGTTGACATCAAACATACGCAAATGGAGTCAGACCCCATTATGGCGAAACGCCTTGCTTTGCCCAGGTTGTCTCCGTCTTGCAGGGGACGTTCCACACTTGAAGATGTTGAGGCTAGCGTCATATGAAGTTAGCTCACTTATAACTGTTGGTGTACTTTAAAGTGGAAAACTCATGACGCTATCAAAATTTACATGAACTGATACTTATGACGCTAGAATAATGACATTATTATGGTTTCACGGGTGCCTGGATGGCTTTGAAATGGCCTGTACAGAATAGTACTGCACATCTTCGGGGGCGCGCAGCTCAGAAACAAGAGGGGTCTAGGTCTTACGAAGGGCATGACTGTGAACTACACCAAACGATTTTCAAGATGGCCATTTCATTTCGAAGCCCCATACCAATTCGGAACATTCCCTGTAACATACTATCTGCGTCATTTTGAATTTCGTTGTGCCGTGTCGCGGCGTGTCGCAGCGGCCGGCTCGCGTTGCTAGGCAACCGAAATAAAAAGCTTGCAGGTGGCGCAGATCAGCGGGCCGTAAGCCGAGGCTCCCGTTTCGGATGCTTCAGCCGTCCGCTCACTCCTCCCTTACTAATGGTAAGACCGTGTATTGGGAGCGTCATCCTAATCTGACAATCGTCTTAACAGCACTGCTTATTATGGCAAGGGCTCCCTGCATTTGGCCCGCGTGTCGAGATCCTTCGGGGCAGACGACTACATCCTTACCCCTTCCGTTCCACCGGATGCCCACAGTTGTTCGTAACGCGTCTTAATACAGACAGCTAAATGCCTCTCAGTGATGCGGGTTTAATCATCTAAAAATTGAATTCACGATGTACAAGAAAGTGTGACGTTTTCAGCAAGTCTAGAATAGCCAGGCACTTGTAACCAATTGTAAGACAAATTTTGTAAAATATTGGTATCGTGAACAACCATTTTTTGCGTTTTCCCACAACTCAAATAATTCCACATGCTATGAAAACAAAACGTAGGGCGACGAACTCCACCAACGTGTTATCAGCCTAGTTAATTTGAGGATGACATGCGCGAAGTCCACTTCTTGTAAGCTCATGGTATAGAAAAGCAGAGGTCTCGAAGACAGTTGTTGCTGTCATCAAAGGAGTTGTTGAATTTTTTTGTGCGGCACGGATGCACACTCGCAAGCAATGGATAGCCCACCAATGGGGGCTGGCGGACTTGCGCGTTCTGCATTTTGTTTTTACGGAAGATGGCACCGTTTGAGGTCATGCGAAGCGCAACGATAAGGGTTGTTTTAGATAACATGTCTGCACAAATTTGCAGTGGAAGTTGCAGGTGTCTGGCTATGTATAATACTCGTCACTGACGTCCGGCTCCCGTAGGGTCTCAAGTTGTATGTCATTTAAACTGCCTTATTGTAGAAAATATACCTGGGTACCAAGTAGCCGGTGAGGTAATGTTGGGCATAGTTGCTTGGCCTCTTAGTGGTCTGTTGTCGGAGGACACCGGTAGGGTGTTGGTTAAGCGGCGCGCCTGGGAAATGAAAAGTACGGGCTCAGTTTTCCGCGGCGCCCGCCCTACCTGCCGAGGCGGGGCCCTTCCTGCCCAAGTGGAGAGTCAGGCGACACTGTATAGCCTCAGCAGCTGAGTGCGGCGTAAAGCCCAACGCTACGATATCAGGTTGCAAACTAAAAGCGTTCTTAAAATGTTTTTTTTACGGACCAAAAACGACACTCGCCATAAGAAGCTTTTAGATAAAGGCGGTCGTCAAATTTACGAATGAGAATTTGGGTTGTAGAGTTACGGAACAAGGGGTCGTCGGCTTACGCCCACCCAGCCCAAGGTCGTATAAGCGAGGTAGAACCAAGGCCCCGCGATGATAGAATGGACGCCAGGATATATACCAAAACGTACTAGGTTTAGAATTGGTGTCGACCTAGCGGTCGCATATGTCAGTGTCAATAAATCATTGTTGCGGTTAGGAAACTTCAATGACTTTTTGTTACCACATCACCACCGATTAAATATTATAACCCGAAATGACATTTGTAGAATGTCATCCTCAATTGTTTCAAACGGTGACCTAATTTGTCAGTTGATACAACAAAACCGCACGGGTTCTGCTGGCAATATAGGCATTCTACTCGGCTGACGGCTCATCGCTCGTGTTGAAAGTCGGCGTCAGGGTACCTACTACCCTGCCGTTTATGGAATGTTGCCTGAATTGCGTCGCAAGGTAGCCAACAGACACACAATCTCTATTTTAAGTCTCCTGCACCACTGTTATATTTATATGTATGACAAAATCCCTTAGAAGTAGGTTGAGGCATACAAACACCATTTGACGTAATATCCCCTCCCCTTTCCCGACCGATAAGTGTGACATGCCTTGTGCAATGCGTCTAACAAACATATTGATGCATTCTTTCAACCGTTCTGGGTCATTTCTTAATATTATAAAATATTTCTCGGACATTGCAATTATTGATGTTTTCATTACGTTTTTTTTAAATTTCCAGGGGTATCTCCATATATAGAAAATGAGTGCCCCTGCCACACGCATGTGTATTTTTTGACTTATTTTTATGACATTTGTACTTTGATATGGTATGGTATGACGTATTTTTCGCTGTGTAGGCCCAGTCTGTGATATTTGATACAGGGTGTACAGAAGGCGTCATGGGCAGGATCCCGGGGACCGCGGGCGTTGTTACGGCTCGGACGGTGCTGCGCCCGCTCAGAGTTTCATGATCGACACATGTACGTTCGTCATGTAGTCTGTTTCATGTCTGTATGTTCCGTGGTTGCTCACAGCAGACAGCAGTGTGAAAAGCCCAAAGCCCGTGGGTCCATGGTTCGTACCCAAGCGTGTAGGACGGGCTGCTCACGTCCAGCTCAGCGTTCGCCTGCGCAGCTGTCCGTTCACTCCTCGCCAGACGGTGTCGGCCCCGTATCGTGTCGCGACGCCAGTTTGCCGAGATCCGGGCGTGTTCTTCGCAGCGCCTCCGCAGTTCGCAAACGTGACGTGTGAGCCGTCCGCCGCCCGTCGTCTTACGCACTGTTGACGGGCCGCCGGCCGGGCGTCATTGCAGGACCACGCCACGACGAAGACGAGGGCCGAGGTGCGCGGCGGCGGAAAGAAGCCCTGGCCTCAGAAGGGCAGCGGCCGCGCCCGGCACGGCAGCATCCGGTCGCCAATCTGGAAGGTTAGTGTGCGGCGTCCGGGCAGCGCGGCGTCCGCTGGCCAATCTGGGAGGTTAGCATGCGGGGTCCGGGCAGCACGGCGTCCGCTGGCCAATCTGGAAGGTTAGCGTGCGGGGTCCGGGCAGCACGGCGTCCGCTGGCCAATCTGGAAGGCCAGCGTGCGGCGTCCGGGCAGCACGGCATCCGCTAGCCAATCTGGAAGGTTAGCGTGCGGCGTCCGCTGGCCACGCTGAAAGGCTGGCCGTTGTAGTGGCGTTCATTCGCGGCTCTGAGATGTCGGTATGCGATGCCAGGGTTTGATAGCATCCGCTGACATCTGTGGTAGGTCAGTAGGCCACGGCTACCTTCGCTCGCCAGTTGTCCGCTTCGCTGCCGAGCCGTTTCGCCGCGAAGTACAAGTGTTTCATAAGCTTTCCGACGGCCATGGCCATTGGTCCACCAATGGCGGTCATCGGTCCACTCATGCAGGCGACAAGACTATTCGTCGGGGCAGGCCACGACTGACTAATGGCCGGAGGCGGGAGATCGGGTTTTGCCCGTTGATAGTGTAACCCAATCGTAGTATGGGATGCGGTGGAGGTTTATCCGATTCGTGCGATGCGTCAGCTGAGCTGCGTGTGTCAGCGACTCAAGTCATCCAACTCCTTCACGCACCATATCATTTCATTTCGCGGTACGGCTAGTGGTCCCGGAAGCCTCACTGTCGTTAAATGTGTTAGCCGCAGGTGATTTACCGCAGAACGCTTTTCATTACAAATATCAGCACCAGCACTGGGGCGCAGACCGCATACGTTAGTGCATTGAGGTCGTTGTGATATTACAAAAGTTGGTTGTTATATAAGTGTCCTGAGTAAGACTTTGCAGAAACTTCACCGTTGACTACCATTGGTTGCCATGCCCACCGAATGGTGCTACCACCCACCTGGGTTTATCATTGCCGTTGCGCCAGCGGACCACGTACTTTCCGGTGGACCACCGACCTTCCCAGTGGCGGACCGCGGACTGTCCACGGGTGGAGCACCGCCTGAACCCCGGCTGTCCGGGTGGGCGGGGAGGGGCCTTGACAGTCGGTACACGCAGTTGACCTTGGCTGTCCGGTGCGCGTGTCGGCAGGGAGGCGGCGTGTCGCACGGTCCTCGCGGCCCCAAGTCCTTCTTCTACATGCTGCCGTACAGCGCGCGCGTCGGTGGCTTGTGCGCCACGCTCAGCGTCAAGTTAGCCCAGAGTGACCTGCACGTGGTGTCCGACCTGGGGCTGCCGTCGGCCGAGGCCGGCTTCCTGCAGCAGCTGGCCGAGCGGCGACTCTGGGGGCCCAGCGTCCTCTTCGTGGACGAGTGAGTGGACGCGCAGCGTCCCCTTTGTGGACGAGTGAGTGGGCGCGCATACGTCGTTGCAGACCTCGCAGTGGGGCTGGTGGACGCTGATGACGCCCAGCTTCACTTTGGAAATGATGCGTGACGTGTGCAGACAAGCTGGCCCACCGCATTCCGTGTGTGTTCGCGCTGACGTCGATGCTGTAAACCAAGCCACGCCACCAGCCGCCTGACTTCGCGAGGCCGCTCTGCGTGCTCCGTCGCTGTGCCGACTGCTGACCTTGCCCCGTATCTCAGCACGGACGAGATGCCGGAGAACATCGCGCGGGCCGCCGACGGCATCCCGCACTTCAACCTGCTGCCCGTCTACGGTCAGTGGCCTCTGCCGAGCGAGTGGGACGCGTCGGCTGGCGCTCGGTACCTGCGCGCGGGCTGGAGGCCACCGACGGATGTTGGTGGCCTGGTAACTGTCCGGCGTGCGCTCCGTAGCTTAGGAATTTCTTATCCGCGCCGGCTCGGAGCTTCGGTCCCGGGCCACTTCTTTTGGGCAATCATTTCCCTATTTTGAACTTGTACGCGCGGACATGGCTGTCGCCAAGGCGGGCCGCGCGACAGGCTACTGTGGTGCCCAGGTGCGTCGTCCGCGGGCAGTATTGTACTCACCGCTCCAAACCGTTTCACATCACCTATCTCGAGGCATGACAGTGGGGGAGAGCTGTATGACCGCAGCAGTATTGTACTCACCGCTCCAAACCGTTTCACATCACCTATCTCGAGGTATGACAGTGGGGGAGAGCTGTATGACCGCAGCAGTATTGTACTCACCGCTCCAAACCGTTTCACATCACCTATCTCGAGGCATGACAGTGGGGGAGAGCTGTATGACCGCAGCAGTATTGTACTCACCGCTCCAAACCGTTTCACATCACCTATCTCGAGGCATGACAGGGGGGAGAGCTGTATGACCGCAGCAGTATTGTACTCACCGCTCCAAACCGTTTCACATCACCTATCTCGAGGCATGACAGTGGGGAGAGCTGTATGACCGCAGCAGTATTGTACTCACCGCTCCAAACCGTTTCACATCACCTATCTCGAGGCATGACAGTGGGGGAGAGCTGTATGACCGCAGCAGTATTGTACTCACCGCTCCAAACCGTTTCACATCACCTATCTCGAGGCATGACAGTGGGGAGAGCTGTATGACCGCAGCAGTATTGTACTCACCGCTCCAAACCGTTTCACATCACCTATCTCGAGGCATGACAGTGGGGGAGAGCTGTATGACCGCAGCAGTATTGTACTCACCGCTCCAAACCGTTTCACATCACCTATCTCGAGGCATGACAGTGGGGGAGAGCTGTATGACCGCAGCAGTATTGTACTCACCGCTCCAAACCGTTTCACATCACCTATCTCGAGGCATGACAGTGGGGGAGAGCTGTATGACCGCAGCAGTATTGTACTCACCGCTCCAAACCGTTTCACATCACCTATCTCGAGGCATGACAGTGGGGGAGAGCTGTATGACCGCAGCAGTATTGTACTCACCGCTCCAAACCGTTTCACATCACCTATCTCGAAGCATGACAGTGGGGGAGAGCTGTATGACCGCAGCAGTATTGTACTCACCGCTCCTAACCGTTTCACATCACCTATCTCGAGGCATGGCAGTGGGGAAGAGCTGTATGACCGCAGCAGTATTGTACTCACCGCTCCTAACCGTTTCACATCACCTATCTCGAGGCATGGCAGTGGGGAAGAGCTGTATGACCGCAGCAGTATTGTACTCACCGCTCCAGACCGTTTCACCTCACCGATCTCGAGGCATGACAGTGGGGAAGAGCTGTATGACCGCAGCAGTATTGTACTCACCGCTCCAAACCGTTTCACATCACCGATCTCGAAGCATGACAGTGGGGGAGAGTTGTACGACCGCAGCAGTATTGTACTCACCGCTTCAAACCGTTCCACCTCACCGATCTCGAGGCGTGACAGTGGGGGAGAGCTGTATGACCGCGCCGTCGAAGCGCCGCGAAGCCCCAACAACCATTCAGTGAGGGAGATGTACGTTTCAGCACTCAATCCGCTTGTCTCCCCCCCCCCCTCCCCCTCCTATCCCTATCCCGTGTTGTTAGCCGTGCCACGTGTCTCTCGCTGGCGGAAGCCCGTCCTCGGCGACCCATGACGTCAGATGATGGATTAGCGGCCGTTTCGTCAGCAGCCGGCGCGTCTGAGCTCGTCAGCGGCGAGTGGCGGTTGTGCCGCGCGCCCGGCGCTCGAGCTGTTGAGCGGCTGGATTAAGGGCTTGGGGCACGTGTTGGTCCGGGCCGGCCCCCGGGCGCCGTGTGTCCGGCCGTTCAGGTGGAGGCCGGCGGCTTAGTGATGACGAGGCGGCCGGAGTGGGATCTGCGGAGCCGCCACTGGCGATGGCGCCCATCGGCTATCGGGTTTAAAGGAGAGGCGGCCGGAGTGGGGTCCGCGGAGCCGCCGCTGGCGATGGCGCCCGTCGACTATTGGGCTTAGCGGAGAGGCGGTCCGACCCAGAGCAATCAACAGTGCTAGATTGCGTGGACAGAAATGCCTCTTAGAGGGACACCGAGTTTGATGTGGTGTTCTCTGTGGGGTGTTCATAGCAAGTGTCATCCGTGACCCCTTCGGATCGTTTGTTTGCTGTTGAACTATTATGTATATTGCTCTTGCAAGCCAATGCTCATTAGAAGTATTCTAGCTACCCATCTTTGGACGGAACTTCAACCATGAGAAATGGAAGTATCCAGTTTGCTCTCCAAGTGTGGAAATTTGTCTACGGAACAATGACAACGGATTAACGGAGGCGTTTGGGGGGGGGGGGGGATAACCACGAGTTTTCCTGTTTCCTGATGTCTTCATGCAACGCCGGAGGATTACTGCTGTTTTTTTTTCCAGAGATGTATAGTAGTCTTTCACGCTGCATGTGTCGCCCACCCCGTCCCCTCTCCCACATCCCCAATCTGTGGTCAGCCCTTTTCAAACCGGGAACAGGCCTTGCTTGATGTCATTTGTCATGACGTCACCAACGACGTCGTGAAAAATGACGTCATCATCGTCACTTTTTGACGGTGGGTCCCGTCACGCGGTGGCGTGGGGTTGTTTCAGTGGCTGACATGGGAGGACACTGCTCCGACTTCTCTAGTTGATACCGACGGTGTTCGCAAACCCACGAAACACACCACCAGCCGGTGGTCACATCGGCATGGGCTCTGTTCTGTGCCGCTGACCTTTGCACTTATACCGCCTTGCTAGCCCGGTTGGGATACGGAAAGTGCTGCTGGCAGGTCCTGACCAGGCATGCCCTGAGGCGGGGGTACTGTCGCGCCCGAACCTTCCTGCTGTGTGGGCTGATGTAGTGTACTCTTTTTGTCCTTGAAGATATTGAGTTCTGTGGTTGATTAGAACAGAGCCTGTCTAAATTTGTCAGCCATACCTGTTAAAAGTGGGCAGCTCATGAATGAACATTCTCTCTGTGGACCGGTGTGCAATATTTCGACGTGGCCTGGACCCACGATCTGGTGGCAGCTGTGTTGTGGTAACCTAGGCCTGGTCCTTAAGTGCTGGCAGGGCTCTGCATCGAACGTATGCCCTAGGATATACGTGTACGGAAACAAGGTTTATGCGCCCTCTGATTTTGACAGAATTTCCTTCAAAAGTCGGGATAGGTTTGACTGCTTTATTTTTCGCATTCTGTGCGACCGAGCAAAGAATTCAAGTGTTTTCTCCCCCGCATACACAAAAAAGCACCAGACAGGAAGTCTGGCGGTGACAATAGTAAGCGATTTGGTAGATGGAGACATGGTTGTTGAGCGCCAATCACAGGGCGCGAACAGTTGTCGGTTTTCACCAACTGATATGGCTTTTTATCTTATGTGTTGTATCACCTAGTGTGTTTGCGCACACACACATTACTTGGATTGGTCGAATATCATAACTACGAGACTCTATGTAAGCGGTTTCTCGCCTTTTCCCTCGGCAGGTCTGAACGTCTACAGCATGCTGAAGCATGACACGTTGGTACTGACGGTGGCCGGGTTGGAGAGAGTGCAAGAGCGTCTCCTCCGCGCGCTCTCTCTGCCAGACAACCGGGCCGTCAAGCACACGGACGTTGGCATCCTCCGATGAGACGCCAGCGACGCTCCCCACTCAGTGGCGGAACCTGCAGCGAGGTGACCGGGTGTGCGCACCGGTGCCAGCGGCGGAGCTGGTCCTGGGTCCGGCAGAGGCCTGGTGCCAGCGGCGGAGCTGGTCCTGGGTCCGGCAGAGGCCTGGTGCCATTGGCGAAGCTGGTCCTGGGTCCGGCAGAGGCCTGGTGCCAGCGGCGGAGCTGGTCCTGGGTTCGGCAGGGGCCTGGTGCCGGCGGCAGAGCTGGTCTTGGGTTTGTGCCGAGGCATCATGGGCTGGTAATGAGTGTCTTCGGTATGCGCGTGACGTTAGCGCTTTTTAGCGATGTGCCCATATGTTTTGTTAGACTTGTGCGGGTCGTGTACAATGATTTTGTAAGTCCTGTGATTGAAAGTGCGTCGCTCAACTGATGTGCGCCATCGCGAAGTAGTGCTTCGCGTTTCTGTATTAAATATCCTTCCGTTGTCGAAAGCTAAGCGGTTCACCATCGCACTGAAACTTGGAGACGCCCTGGCGACATCGCGTATGCTGGGGTCGGTATGCATGTGTGTGTGGATGTGATGTGCTCAAATACAGCTCTGTTCTGTATGTGATGTTTGTAGCGTGATGATTGCCTACTCCATGGGATGGTTCTCACCAGAGTCAAACATCACGGTGATGTTGAGCTCCGTTGCTATTCTGGCCTGCTTTGCCAAAACGGATCGTTGCTTTTTTAAGGCGCTCGTGTTTTGCCGGTTCTTTCAACTTCATTGCCTCGTCACTTTTGTTTCGTCTCCGCCCAAGAGCTGTTGACCAGGTACATGTTGCCAGCTAGCAGTAGGATGAATCATCTCGTTTGCGTCGACGGGAAGGAGCGGAATCCGATCTGTATGAAGGGGAGACGGATCCGGATTGCCTGGAGATAATGCGATCATACCAGCGTGCATGGTCGTGTGTAGGGGACTGGTAGTAACGACAGGTTTTACAGTATATTCAATTTATACTGCACGCTTCAATTTATGAAAACTTGCAAGTCGCATTTCCTGAGCCCATTGGTACACCTTTCGTTTTCATCGGCTAGGTATTCTAGGAGCATGAGATCTTCAGCATTTTCACAATCCTGCGTTGAACAGGGATCAGTCACCTCGCGGCCTGGCTCAACCAGGTTTAATTTATAATTTTAGATACTGGAATTGGATGGCCCTACAGAAATATTTCATGTTTCCGGAACTAATGGTGTCACATTCAGCTGAGTACGTGCGGAGCATGAGATTACTAGCAGCTCGTGTCGGCAAAGCAGGTCCAGCCGCCATGAGCGGGCCTTGCTAGGTGATAGCATTTTTGGTGTATGGTGCGAGCTGGGACGCACCAGTGATGAAACTTTCCTTTCCTTTCCCTAGTCGGGAAGCCGCAGGGTACGACTCCGCAGGCTTTGGCGCGTCACGATAGTCGTCTCTCAGGGATGGTGTCGCCAGGTGATCCGCTCGAGCGCTGGGTTAAATATCACGCAATGTTTCCGGCTGTCTACGCGTAAGCTGATTCTGCAGATCGTAATTCGATCCCGCAAATCGCATTTTGATTCCGTTGGAACGTGACTTCTCAGCATGCTGCAACTCTCGAGATCAGCACGTGGGGAGTCTGGCTCCCTGTGTGGCCCGCCTTTCTTGGTTCTCAAGAAACTGTGAAGTCAAAAATTCACGTGTTCTGAAATTTTCCCCCGCCCCCACGACGGGAATCATTTTGCATTCGACGGCGTTCGTCCACTGGAGCTGCGGAACACGCTCTGCCTCATGCCCTGGCCGCCCCACTACTTAGTTTCACGCGTTGCCCCATCTGGAGACGATCTCTACTCCTGCCGTCCAGAAACTTCTATCTGGCTATAACGGCTTCCGCCAAAGGAAAGTGGCAGCGCTCTCGGGATGACGAGGATAATCGCAAACTGAAGGCAATTAAGCCACAGTCGGGCCTTTGGCCGTGCAGTTCACGTCCGGCCAGGCGCCAAAGGTTGTTCTATGCTGCCTGCGAGACAGTCGCACTCATGCCACACATAGCTACCTATCGTGCCGCGAGGACAGACCTCGACGCCCCAGACGCAGTGCGCCAATGACCGCTCGTCACGTACTTCACTCGTCAAGTCACTGAAATCCACTTGATGGAATGATAGCTTTTGGTGTGCTGCGAACATAATACGTCGGTACGTAAAAATGAATGAACTGTTGAGAAATGGCAGGCCGAGCATTGTCCAAATAAGCAGTGCCCACCTGTTATTCTCCCGGATACTCAGCCTTAAGGGGGCTGGATCCATTAAACTGGAGAAAAAGAAGGTGTTCCATGGGAAATGTACATACGCGCAGAGTGAGCGACACATGCCCAGCTGCCCAGGGCTGCACATAAGACGGCGGCTCCGTGCATTAAAGTTTAACAAACATAAGAACTTTACAGTGTTTCACAATGCAACGTGGCCCTCCTTGACGATATCATGGGACCACCCTTGTGTAGAGCCAGAGCTGTGGTTTCCTATCCAATTGGGGGCAGACCCCCCCCCCCCCAACTTAAGCTCTATCTCCGCCGACTTTGGAAGGAAAGTTAGCCGAATTTGTGGAAAGCATTCGTTGTTGGCGCAATTATAGGGGCACGTTTTATAATTTTTACCCCCCCCCAAATTCATTTTGCGAAAATGTGCACCTGTCTACGTTATGGCTTTGGAGTAACCATGCATGGACTTGAAGGCCCGTCAAGAGCCAGTCAGGGGACCCCGGGACCCCAGTTCCAAATCCTCCGCCCAGTTTCGACCAGCGGCTCGCTGAACCGCACTGGGGTTCCAGTGCCAATGATGGGACCCACTGTGCCGGTAAAGCATCCTCCAGTGTCAGATGAGAGTCTCTGCATTGACTTGAGACCCACTGCTCCGGTCATAGGATGTCCTCTATCAGGGAAGAGACCGATGTATGAGATTCTCTCGGAGGGCCTTTTGACCGACTACGGAGCCCGGTCCCTTTGTCGTCAGAATGCCAGTTGGTGGATACCCCGGGCTGGTGCGGAAAGACATACCTCCCGGTGACCGAAAAGGGCGACAGGCTCGGTGGTGTTGCACCCACGCAACCCCATGGCCGAGGGAACATAAAGGGTCTCCTCACTATGCAATCCACGGGCTGCCCAGCGCACTCTCTAGTGGACATAACTGGGTCAAAAACAAAAACTGAATTGGACCACTTCAAGTCAAGAGGACCAAACCTGGTGGTTTGGTCTTTAATAAGTCGTGCTGGGACTTTTCACCGGGGCCCCTACCACAGCCGGTCTCTATCTCTCACACAAAAATTCTGGCCGCACCACGCTGGTCAGTGCCCTCTGAGATCAGTGTCTGAGATCAGCGTCGCCCACTCACCAGGGTTTAAGAGCACCACTCTACTTTCAAAAACAGATTCCTGACCGCCTCCGGGACCAAATGACGACAGGCGGTGTTAAGCCCGCGTGCCGACCCGCCGGCTCAGCTCTGGTCATTGACCTGCCCCGCTCGTGGCCGGCGGCACGTGCCCATGACGCCTCGTCGACCCCTACACACGTGGCTGCCGTTCACTGTCGGCCCTAGCGTTCGCCCTACTTGCCGTCGTCAGGACCTGCCGGTGCCTGCTAGCTTCAGGCTCTCACTCGGCTGGACAGGGACGAAGACAGAGTCCGGCGCGTCGACGCCCTATGAAGACATCTTGCGGCCCATCGAGCAGTACTAAGCCAGCGGATGCCGCTGGCTCGTTGCCATTTGCCAGTTGCAAACCGCTGGGGGGGGAGGCATCTGTGCCGTGCACTCTGTTCCATAGCTGCCGGTTCTGCCTCATCCTCCACCTCAGTCATTTGCCATCGCCACTGCCGTGTTTCCATCCTGCTGTCACTCGCCTGCGGTATAATGGTCGATGACTCCATCGTGTAATTTTATTCATTCTCCCCAGCGGTGGTGTCTGGTTGCTAAGTCCATTCACCACTTCCGCCTCGCCGCATAGCACGTGTCGTTGCTGATATCTTCGCATCTATGTGACTGTCCAGCCCCAGCAGTTGGTATTACTGTGACCATCGTTGATTACGCTACGCTCAACATTGAAAAGAAGTCTACTTACAGAGTCCGCTCAAGAATCCACTTCAAAGTTCATTCTTGCGCCGCCCTTCTGAATGTTTATCCGCATTGTAAAAGGCTCTGCTGCGTGACCTTAAAAGCCTCTACACGGCCCTGCGCGGCCCACCAGCGGTGAGTGTGCGGTCCTGCCCGGCCCACCAGCGGGGACCGTGCGACCCTGCGTGGCCCACCAGCGGTGAGTGTGCGGTCCTGCCCGGCCCACCAGCGGGGGCCGCGCGGCCCTGCGCGGCCCACCTGGTGGCGCCAGGCCGTCTACTTCGTCAGCGGCGATCGCAGAGGCGGCACCAGGCCGTCTGAGGAGGGGCGGCAGCAGCCTCAATGAGCCGTTGCCGGCCCTCTCCGCAGTCCGTCGTCTGCGCCGTCACGCTGCACACGATTTGCCGATCAGCAGCTGCTTGCGGCAGCCGCCTCTCATTGTCAATACTGACCCTACGCTAGACCTGTTTCCTGACCCTGATTCGGATTCCGACTTGTACTCGTTTCCAGACCCTGATGCGGACTCCCACTTGTCCTCTTGTTAGGAATCCAATTGTTCTCGTGTCCGGATTCCGGCTTGTACTCGTGCCCGGACCTTGATGCGGCCTCCGGCTTGTACTCGTGTCTGGACCCTGACGCGGCCTCCGGCTTGTACCCGTGTCTGGACCCTGACGCGGCCTCCGGCCTGTACTCGTGTCCGGACGCTGACGCGGCCTCCGGCTTGTACCAGTGTCTGGACCCTGACGCGGCCTCCGGCTTGTACTCGTGCCCGGACGCTGACGCGGCCTCCGGCTTGTACTCGTGTCTGGGCCCTGACACAGCCTCCGGCTTGTACTCGTGCCCGGACGCTGACGCGGCCTCCGGCTTGTACCCGTGTCTGGACCCTGACGCGGCCTCCGGCTTGTACTCGTGTCCGGACCCTGACGCGGCCTCCGGCTTGTACCCGTGTCCGGACCCTGACGCGGCCTCCGGCTTGTACTCGGGCCCGGACCCTGACGCGGCCTCCGGCTTGTACTCGGTCCCGGACGCTGACGCTGCCTGCCACTTGTCCGCTTGTTCGGACTCCAATTTGTACTCGTGTCCGGACCCCGACTCGCACCCGAGGCTGGACCGGACTCTGTGGCTTCCTTGACTGAGAGCTGATCCCTCCGTCGGGCCAACCTGAAGCCGCCTCTGGCCGCGGCCTCGCCGGCACGGCCTCGATTTATTCGCCGCCGCACCCCTGGAGGTCACACGGGGTCGCAGCCTCGACAGGTGGGGTGCGGCTGGGCGTTCCACTCTCTCCGAGAGGACTGGGAGGCTGAGCAAGCGGCGTTCGGTAGTCCTGATAAGCTCCACCCATGGAGGATTCTCGGGGTATCATGCAAAGTTGTAGTAATATATATATATATATATATATATATATATATATATATATATATATATATATATCGAGTCTTGGCGTGCCATGCAGTGGCGGCAGAGCCTCTCGGGGAACAGGGAAGAAACAAAAGCGATTTACGTCGTTTCTTTTTATACACCGCTGTAGCGTTTATGTTAAGTGTTGTCTGGAATTGGGAAGCGCCCCCTCCCCCTATCCAACCCCGGCAGTGTTGCACGGTGGCAAAGCCTGTTCGTGATCGTTTGCTATTTCAAGCGGCTCAGTGTTGGGATTTACTTCGTTTTTTCACGAACAGGTCGGATGTCTGGAAATGACAAACTGAGCACGATATGCCAACTGAGGCGGGCTGCGGACCCACTCCGGCACGATATGCCAGCTGAAGCGGGCTGCGGACCCACTCCGGCGCTGATTTTTAATCAGGTACGCATATGTATTCTCAGTTCACTCCCGCCGTATAGGCCCTGGGTCAGCAGCATGAAGTACGCGACTGATGAGCGGGATCAACAAAGAATGAAGCTGTTGTATATGCTGCTTATTAGATAGGTAAAATAAAACTCGTTATGGGCGCCAAATGACCACCGCAGTCGGTGCGCCCCTAAACTCCAGTGAACAACAACAAAGCTGTTTTACGTATCATCGTTTTCGTTGTCTGTACCCTGCCTCGCAGACCCTGCAGACATCGGCTCCACCTCACGCCGTTTTCCAGATCTGAGCATCACATGTTAGGGATCGTGATGCTGTTATAACAAATTAGAAGCCCGGAACCTAGCGATTGGTCGAGGCGAACGATTGCAGATCTTATCATTCACGTTTCCGCCAGCGAGTTTTGTTCCGAGTTTTGTTACTGAAGAAGTCTCGGTGAAAAATAGCACATGGCTGGCATTGACTCTAGACTATGTGACATATAAATGAGGGTAAGTACCTTTACAGCCCTTCTCTTCGCAAAAAGTCGCTGACAAATACTGGTACGTACTCATCCTTGTTTTGTTTGTCTTTATGTGCGGCCCCTTTTCTTGCCGTTATTTATTCTTCAACTTCTCGCCAGAGGTCACATACAAAACGTTCAAATTTTACATTTGCAGCACACCACCTCATCGCTCGCAGCAAACGCATTGCAATGCATTACCAAGGCTGTGCGGTCACGCAGCGCGTCACGGCTATGCATCGACCGTCGTGACGTTAAGCCGCCATCTCAGATGTGCGGGGACACTTGTCGTTGGCGGGCTTCATCGACACCGCCGGGTAAATACAAACACTGTCGGCAAACGGCAAGACCTGCCCGCGAAGAGTTCCGATGCTAAGCTATTTGAAACATCCCAGTGGCTGGAGATGACGTCATATTCACGGGTGACGTCAGACCAGAGGCCATGCGACGCCTCACGCCGCGTCACACAAATAAGACGGCGGTCGCCGCCAAATATCGTCTCGCCAATGGCACGTCACAGCTGGCACATGGGGAATGCGTTCGGCTCGCAGCAGAGGGCTCCTTCGTTGACGGTTGGTCGATCCCGTCCCGACCGGGGGGTCTGCGCCCTGTCCAAACGCCGCTGTCGGCCGGCGGCGCCGTCCAAACGCCGCTGTCGGTCGGCGGCGCCGTGCGAGCCGCCGCTGTCGGCCGGCGGCGCCGTGCGAGCCGCCGTTGTCGGCCGGCGGCGCCGTGCGAGCCGCCGTTATCGGCCGGCGGCGCCGTACGAGCCGCCGCTGTCGGCCGGCGGCGCCGTGCGAGCTGCTGCTGTCGGCCGGCGGTGCCGTGCGAGCCGCCGCTGTCGGCCGGCGGCGCCGTGCGAGCCGCCGCTGTCGGCCGGCGGCGCCGTGCGAGCTGCTGCTGACGGTCGTACGTCAATCCTCGCAGCTCGCTCTGATCGGCGTCCAGTCCTGGCGTGCTGACGACAATGCGCATGACTGCCGCGCGGCGCGGCGGCCCCCTCCCGACTCGCACGTCCTCAGGCTGCCTGCCGGCCGGCGCGCCGCCGCTCCCTGCTGTGACCGTCCTCCGCGCTCCGCCCTCCAGCCCCTCCGCTGACGGCGCGACGCCGCTCCTCACTGCAGACCACCCGCCTGCCGGCACCACACTGAAGACGTTGGTGCGTCGGCGGACCCGTGCACTGCCAGCCCAGGCCGGCCCATGCCGCCGGCCGACGCCGAAGTGAGCAGCTCCGGCGCTCTCCCGCCGGCGCTGAGGGCGGTGCGTGGCGAGAGTCCGGGGGAGATCGCCGCACCGTCACCCCCGGGCGACCCCTGTCCTGGCCTTGGCGTTCGGCGAGCCCGTGCACCCACCGTTTCCTCATCTTCAGTGGCAGCCGCAGCTGCTGGCCACCATCTTCCTATACTTCTTCAGGATAACGTTGAGGTTGTCGTTGAAGTAGAGCACGCTGATGCTGTTGAGCTTGGTGGGCGCGCACGACGGCTTGGGGTAGGTGTAAGGCTCCAGCAAGTGCGTCAACGTCTGCACGATGGCGTGGTTGGTGGCGTTCATCTGCGAGTTGAGCGGAAACGCGCACAGTCCGGTGCAGAAGAACGCTGCGTACCTGTCGGCACGCCACGGATGCTGGTGTCGACCGAGGGCAGCAAAGTGTCCAGGCACTGGCGCATATCACACGTTTAAGGGAGCACTGCCTCGCATAGGTCGTGCAAAGATGATTGGTTAAGGCGTGTACCACGTGCTGAAGGGAACACTTGCAAAAATTATTGCTTACATGCGTATGATATGTGCTGGTATATGATCAATACAATATTGCAGATATTAAATGCATTATGATAATGACCATAAATAATGAATTATCGAGCATTTTTACCTGATAGTCGGAAATCCATGTCATCGCATTACGTGGCTATTACTGGCTGACGGCCCGTCCAATTCACATGCTGTGGTCGCCGGGTCCCAACGGCACACGGACGCGGCGTGTCAGGACGCCACAGGGCCCTTCTTTACCGATCGCATGTTGGCGCCGAACACAAGCAGCTCGGAGCCAGAGCCCCTGCCCGCACGGCATTGGGGACTGGCAAATCAGCGTGCGCACCAGGCGCCTTGTGCCGAGCATGGCCCGAGTCGTGCTGGCTGAGTTGTTGACCTAAGGTGGGCCGACGGCGACGTACCCGTCTGGCGCGATGATCCAGTCTTGCCAGCCCAGGTCGCGGAAGCTGACGTAGAGGTTCTGCTTCTGGCAGACGCGGTACTCGCGCCTCTCGGTCAGCTCCTTCAGCGGGCTGTACGGCTCCGAGGAGCGGTTCCGTTTGCGGTCCTTGCGTCTGGAACCGGAACGGCCGGCCGTGATGGGTCACACGAGGATCAATCCAGCACCCACGTACGCTTGCTGCTCAGACAGACGCGTGGGCGACCTCTAAAACTTTGACATTCTCGGGGAGGGCGCGTTAAATGGATCCTTGGGTACTCCACCTTAATTGTCCTATGACCCCCAAATGCGACTGCAATCCATCTCTGATGATGATAATGATGATTTGGGCATTACGGCGCGCCGACCACCCAGGCCACATGGCAATCCATCCCTGCATGATCCCATCACGCCAACTGGCCAGCACAGTCGTTCGTATCCGTCCCGTGCTACTGCGCTGCATTGCCATCGCGCCGCAATAGCACGGGATCAGCTCAGGGTCAACAAACCGAAGTGAGTGCGTGGGCGCTATTGGGTAGACCCGGACACACAACCACTGGTATCCATGAACGAAGACCAGATCAGCTGAGCAAGATGACATTACTAAAAGGACGTACGCGCGCGTTTCGGTGAAGACTGGAGATTTCTAGGAGCTAGCAAAATTGCGTGTGATTAGCAATGGTTGGGCGTGCAGCTTCATAACTTATGCCTATGCACACTCGACTTTACCCGCGCCCACACGACCCCTCCCGAATGTCAATCGGACGGCCGCCTCTCCCGCCGCCTCTCACCGTCTGCCGCCGGGAGCACGCCTGAACCGGGCGGCCGCCTCTCCCGCCGCCTCTCACCATCTGCCGCCGGGAGCACGCCTGAACCGGGAGACCGCCTCTCCCGCCGCCTCTCACCGTCTGCCGCCGGGAGCAAGCCTGCATCGGGCGGCCGCCTCTCCCGTCGCCTCTCACCGTCTGCCGCCGGGAGCACGCCTGAACCGGGCGGCCGACTCTCCCGCCGCCTCTCACCGTCTGTCGCCGGGAGCACGCCTGAACCGGGCGGCCGCCTCTCCTGCCGCCTCTCACCGTCTGCCGCCGGGAGCACGCCTGAACCGGGCGGCCGCCTCTCCCGCCGCCTCTCACCGTCTGCCGCCGGGAGCACGCCTGAACCGGGACGGCGGCGGCATGCCGTCATGCGCCGGCTGCTTGAAGAACGCCGTCATGAAAGGCTGGCGTGCCTCCTCGCCGAACGCGTCCACGATACCCGCCTGGGCCGGTACCACGGTCGAGCCGTCCTCCAGCATGACCTGCCGGAGCGGGGACGGGGCGGGGTGGGGTTTGGCGTTACCGTCGGTCCGGGGCGGCAGCGCTGGACTCGTCCAGCTGATCCCCAGCTCGGCAGCGGGTGGGGGGATACCGGAGTCTAGGTCTGAAAAAGCCTTGAGACCAGATAATCTCAGATTTGGAAAACATTTCACGACCTTTCCAAAAACAGTCCATTCGGATCGCGGGTTCAAGGTAACTAATGCAAGGGAATCCCATGCGATCGGCAATGGGAATGCCTTGCAATGGGATAAGCCGGCCATATTAGCAGACAGAATCCAAATTTTCTATTTAAGATCTAACTCAACCTTTTTGAATGGATGGATTTCTGGAATCATACCTCACACTGTGCAGTCTTTGCTGTGAGCTCTGACCCCTACCGTCCGTGCCGTGCAAGCCAGGTCATCGGCAGGATTTCGTGGCGAAGTTTTGCCGTGCCGCAATTTTCGGCACGGTCCGTCCTTCCCTCTGACTTCATCTGACCCTCATTACGGCCACTATCACTAGGGCCATATCTGTCAAGGGCAATTAGCGAGCGTCTAAAGCGACTCCAACCCACCCCGCTTTGGGTGGGTGGATCGAAATGCACGTGCCCTAACCTACTGGGATATCGGGACGGACAAAGATCTGCGCTACGGTGGAGGGGAAAGCTATTCCTAGATCCAGAACAAGACCTATCTTCAAATTTCTTTACGAAGAATCCTTCCAGCTCCATTTTGAGTAACTTTTCACACTTTGACCCGACCGAACCTTCAGCTGAGCGGTGCCAAAGCTTCCTGGCACCATGGGAGATTCGGCATCAAAGATCCTTAATACCCAGCTGCTACCTGGCGTTCATAAGCTAGTTTCGCATGGACAGGTTCACACACGCTACCTAAATGTGATAGATTGATGTGTAATTTGCGCACCCGTGGTTGGCTACCCTGAAGCAGGCAAGCGTTTCCCAATGAAAAAAATGATCACTTGACATGCCCCATGACCTCAATCTTATTCATAATCTATATTCTATGTAATGTCATTCAGAAGAGCTGTTGACCCACTTGTGATACGATATCTTTTCGAAAACATTGCCAACGGATCTTTGATAGATTTTCCTGGAGGATCTCCTCGGATTCATAATTTTTGACAAGTTCTTTATATTCCAATCTCCATTTTCAAACTAGATAGAAATATTTCCTTGGATCCTTTGATCCACCCAGGGGCCCTCGCAAGCGTCCACTGATCAGCCAGTCACATAGCGTGTTCTGGGCCCGAGACAAGCGCGGTATCCTCCCAGCCGTCTAATAATGACGCTACAGGAGAAGGTCGAGCCAATTCGGATGATCGGCGCGAGCGCGGGCCTTCCCGACTGATATGAAGGGCGCCAGAGCAGCGGCGCCGTTACCGTCCGGCGTCCGAGCCAATCAGACAGGCGGTCTCCGCATCCGCTGGTTGTCGGGATGAGGCCAGACGCTGGTCACGTGGCGCGGCCACGTGCCTCCGCCGACGACGTCCCACATTCCGGCGTGGGCGGGAAGCGCCGCGGACGAATCGAGGTCAAAGGTCACAGGTTACGCTCGAAATCCTGGCGCCGGGTTCGATTCCCGTCGCGGGAAACTTCCGCGCGTCGCAATGTCCTGGCGGAGCGACGGCTGTAATAACGTCACCACCCTCATACGTCGACGATGGACTGCCACGCTTGATGGGATGCACCGCGCTCCACTGACCTCGATGTAGAGGCCGAGGTTGAAGTCAGGGAACACTCTCCACAGGTCGGCCGCCCGGGTCACGTTGAAGGTCAGCCAGCCCACATAGCCCGGCTCCAGCGGCCGCCGGTCCACCTCCTTCAGATGGATCGTATGGTTCTCACCTGACGGAGAGGACGCAGCGTTGCCAGTTGGCTCCCAAACCGGCCGCAGATCGGAGACCAGACAGTGGTCTCAGGCCGGAGAGCAGACAGTCGCTTCGTCCGAATTCCACATCCTTTTTTGTGGACAGGCGCATCATCCACAGCATGGGCGCGCAAATCAGCCCTGTTCCGGTCAGGAATGTATGACATATATCCTTTTCATTCTTATGGGGCTGTCATTGATATCTCTCGGTCATAAGGCCATCTGCGCAACGTTTTCTCCATCTCCAGATGAAACCCTAGTGCGTCGTGTGAAGCAAATAGGAAGAAGACCGGTCGTCAATTTGGAAAATACAGGCTGGCAAAACACTCCTGTAATAAAGCCAGCGTGAGATCATCGACTTTTGCCTAATATGCTTCCAAAATGCATCTGCAACTAAATATTCCTGATAACACTGTAGTGTAGGTGTAGTGTGTGTGTGTGTGTGTGTGTGTGTGTGTGTGTGTGTGTGTGTGTGGTGTGTGTGCCCTGTCCTGTGTGTGTGCGTGTGTGCAGTGCGTGCGTGTGTGTGTGTGTGCGTGCCGTGCGTGCGTGCGTGCGTGCGTGCGTGCGTGCGTGCGTGTTGTGGTGTATTCTGCATGATACGATTCAGTTCCTTTAACCCTACTTTTAACTGGAAACCCCGTTCTTTTCAAGTCCTATCGTAAAACTAAGCACGTGCGCGTGTTGTACTTGTGGGAAAGCCCCCCCTAGGAGACTTCTTTAACGCATTTTGCGTATTGGCCTTTGGTTTTTACACTGAGTTCCCCTTGAAGATGTTATGTCGTAGCATATGAATCTGCGCTCTCTCTGTCCTCTCTCCTTCTCTTCTCTCTCTCTCTCTCTTATCTCTCTCTCTCTCTATCTTCTCTCTCTCTCTCTCTTCTCTTCTCTCATCTCTTCTCTCTTCTCTCTATCTTTCTCTCTCTCTTCTCTCTCTCTCTCTCTCTCTCTCTCTCCTTTCTCTCTCTTCTCTCTCTCTCTCTCTCTCTTCTCTCCTCTCTCTTCTCTCTCTCTCTCTCCTTCTCTCTCTCTCCTCTCTCTCTCCCTCTCTCTCTCTCTCCTCCTCCTCTTCTCTCTCTCTCTCTCTCTCTCTCTCCTCTCCTCTCTCTATCTCTCTCTTCTCTTCTCTCTCTCTCTCTCTCTCTCTCTCTTCTCTCTTTCTCTCTCTCTCTTCTTCTCTCTTCTCTCTCTCTTCTCTCTCTCTCTCTCTCTCTCTCCTCTCTCTCTCTCTCTTCTCTCTCCTCTCTCTCTCTCTCTCTCTCCTCTCTCTCTCTCTCTCTCTCTCTCTCTCTCTCTCTCTCTCTCTCTCTCTCTCTCTCTCTCTCTCTTTCCTCTTTTTTCTCTCCTCTCTCTCTCTCTCTCTCTCTCTCTCTCTCTCTCTCTCTCTCTCTCTCTCTCCTCTCTCTCTCTCTCTCTCTCTCTCTCTCTCTCCTCCTCCTCTCTCTCTCTCTCTCTCTCCTCTCTCTTCTCCTCTCTCTCTCTCTCTCTCTCTCTCTCTCTCTCTCTCTCTCTCTCTCTCCTCTCTCTCTCTCTCTCCTCTCTCTCCTCTCTCTCTCTCTCTCTCTCTCTCTCTCTCTCTCTCTCTCTCTCTCTCTCTCTCTCTCTCTCTCTCTCTCTCTCTCTCTCTCTCTCTCTCTCTCTCTCTCCTCTCTCTCTCTCTCCTCTCTCTCTCTCTCTCTCTCTCTCTCTCTCTTCTCTCTCTCTCTCTCTCTCTCTCTCCTCTCTCTCCTCTCTCTCTCTCTCTCTCTCTCTCTCTCTCTCTCTCTCTCTCTCTCTCTCTCTCTCTCTCTCTCTCTCTCTCTCTCTCTCTCTCTCTCTCTCTCACCATATTCGCTCTGATACCACTTTTTGCCCCACACCCTCCCCAAGCCAACACATTTTACATCATTAATCGAGTGGCGCAGTGGTTAAAGTGGATGGGTACGGGATAGTCTACTGATGCTCTTTTTGTCCTGATGGTTGATAAGTGATTTGCCGAACGGGTATACGCAGCCCTCTGTCTCCCTGATATAGCCCACACATTTACACACATAACGATGAACACCATGTACAACATTGCTCATTTTACAACCTGCTTGTTAAATCGTTCGATCATGCTTTTACAATATTTTAGGTCCCTTTACTGAATTCTGGCCCGGACAAACCCACAACAGATGACGCGGTTTTCCGCAATATGACCCTTGAGGCCCTTCGACTCGAGCAGCTGGATCGGATCGACTCAGGGCCCTGACTGACGTTAACAGATCCCTTATCGCCGCGGGGATCCAATACCTGGCACAGATATTTCATCTCGGCTTTACTTGCCCCTGGCTGAAATGGGACGGAGTGCTCCCGTTCGGTACTGGAACCCTGACTGATACAGAGGCCTCACATTGCATCATTGTGGACTCTCATCATGAGTCCTCATATCTCAGGTGATTGTCAGAGGACTGCAGCTAACGTAAGAGGCCATCGGACATTTGGGGTACCGTCCTTGTCCCTGTTCCCGAAAATATTCCCGGGCCGACTCGGGGCTCTTTGCCCACACAGAACCCCCTCTCAGACACCGCGGACCCCTGGCCGATGCGAGGATCCCTTTCCCTATTGTTTCAGGGCCCGACCAACGCAAATCGTGGGCCCTGGCCTTCTCCCTGCTTGGGACATGGGCCCACGTGGCTCAAACCGACACGGAGCCGACTGCTCGGTGGCGGTGGTTCCTCGCCGAAATATGGTCTCTGGTCGACTCAGGTCTTTGTATTGCGGTGTCCAAAGCACGCGCAGTGTTTGGCCCATGCGCTACCAAGAATTAGCGCGATTGCATGACATGCCAGAGGGATATCCTAGGAAAAGCGAATCGCGGTGAGGGTTAAAAAGGAGCAATGCAACGACATGAATGCCTACGCAACCAGCAGCGTGATAGAGTAAATGCATAATGAGTTTTATCCTTATGTTTATGTCCTATATGTCCCTTTTTATCCTTAGGGGATTGTCACCAAATTTCCTGGCCGACTAACCGGGCTACCATTTTCCGGAAAACCTGCTGGTACACGCAAAATCCCTAGAAATCTGGTACAACAGCCTTCGTCTTTCTCGCGCAAATGATTCTTTCGTTTTGGTGCCCATTCGTGTCGCTCAAAATAACCGAATCCACCGTAAATGCACCTGCGTCAAGAGCACGCTCCAATTCCAGACGCAGAAAGATCACTGAGATGTGCATTGGGCTGATACCTTGTTAACCTTTCAACATGACATTTTTACGTTAGTCTTTTCTCATGTAAACGCGCGGCATTTCCGCCTATCTTCATAAAAGGTCGCTAAGGTACCTGACCCTCGTTGAGAACAACGTTATTACCGTTGAGGATTTGTCCTACTGGCCGAGAAGCTATCCGTGACATACTTAATAAATACCATCTCGCCATCTATAGCGCCTGTGTAATTGAGGCTGCATTCGTATGCCGCACCAATACCGCCAGCACCTGGATCGAGGGGTGGGTGACTCTGACCCTGACCCTGGGTGTCAAAGGAACTTTTGATCACAGGATCCTGAGATTCGTGATTGTAGCCCAGGCAGACGAATCAAGTGACGGGAACACGAGGCCACACGCGCACGTGCGCGGCCATCTAAATGTGCCGCTTCTGTGGCTGGGTGACTTTTGAGCCCACTGACCCGTGCGGCGTCGCTCGGCCACCACTGAAATCGCATCAGCTGCTGAGCCCGCTGAGCCGTGCGACGTCGCTTGGCCACCACTGAAATCGCATCGGCTGCTGAGCCCGCCGAGCCTTGCGACGTTGTTCGGCCACCATTGACCTCGCATGAGCTGCTGAGCCCGCTGAGCCGCGCGACATTGCCCGGCCACCATTGACATCGCATGAGCTGGTGAGCCCGCTGAGCCGCGCGACGTCGCTCGGCCACCGCCGACCTCGCGTCAGCTGCTTAGTCGTGCGACGTTACTCGGCCACCACTGACATCGCATCAGCTGCTGAGCCCGCTGAGTCGTGCGACGTCACTCGGCCACCACTGAAATCGCATCAGCTGCTGAGCCCGCTGAGCCGTGCGACGTCACTCGGCCACCACTGACATCGCATCAGCTGCTGAGCCCGCTGAGCCGTGCGACGTCACTCGGCCACCACTGACCTCGCATCAGCTGGTGGACGTGCAGTGTGCTCTGACGGAAGTCGAAGGCGCTCGTCTCGGTGTAGCCCTGGTACACCCGCAGAGTGGTCACCAGTCGGTTCTCGTCCAGCGGTACCTCGGTCAAGTCAAACCTGGCAGGACGTCAGCGTTTGGGCGTACGGGTCACGAGATGAGGGGAGAGCCCGCAATGGCGGACGTAAAGCCAAACGCCACCGCAGATGGTCGCATTGAAGTGACGTTACGAATCCAGATAAGAGAATTGAAGTCGCTGGATATGATTCAAACAACGAGAAAATCATGCTTGCTAACGCACACTTATGGGAAAATTTCAGGTATGTGCTCGGCACATTAGCGCTGATGACGAAATAGATAACCTTTCGAACGTTGGTCGAACCAGTCTATACACATTTACACACATTTAGTCCGCAAGTGATGCCTATAAAAGCGCAGAATGCAAATGTTAGCTACTGCGCGGACGCATAAAGTTGTTTGGAAAACGACTACACCCGGAGCCTCAACTCCTTCTCCTTAAAAATGCAACAAAGTATTCAGCAGTCTTTCGGTGGGAGATGAGAGCAACCCTGAAAGCATTTCATCTTGCCATCGTCGTCAAAACTAACGAGGTGTAACATACCCAAATCAAATTCAATATAAGATTTTGTGTGTACACCTGTCCGCATGACAAGAACACGATGCTAGCACTGCCCTCCCTCTCCCTTGTTGCGCCTGTTGTGCTGACCACAGCAGTTGGCTACGAGCGTAGTCCACCTCCTGGAAGCTCTTGGAGCCGTGATTGGTGAAGCTCATGATGACATCACTCTCGTCGATCACCTCCTTGTCCGTGTTCGTGATGTTGAAGTCCCTCCACGCGTCACCAGCGCCATCTGGATTCAGTTTCAGATCACCTGGCGGAAGAGATGCCAACTAACTCGCAACACTCGGCTGCAAGTTGAGACCGAATAGACGGCGGCACACGTGCCACTAGTCATCTACTTTAATCTCCACGGTGAGGGCCAATGACCGGACTGGATGCATGTCGTAGATGATGGAGCGATAGGTGGTAGGGATAGCTTTTGTTACGACATCTCCGCCGTAATCCAAACAATTTTTTTAGTGGAACAGTCGCCTTCAAACCGTATTAGCAGGCGTCGGCCGGGCTCAAGTGACGTAGGCATGGCGATTAGTAGTAAACAACCTGTGCTGAAAGCCGCCATGACGACGCCGCTGGAATGATATTTTCGGAAGCAGCCGCCAACCATCCCAGTTTGGGCAAATGATGAGTTGTTTCAATAGTCACCTGGGGTTCCTGACGATCCCTGCGACAGACACAAACATCCGCCAGACACACGCGGCACACAAACAATCGCCAGTTATACCCGGCAGACACAAAGACCCGCCAGACACATGCGACAATCACAAACACCCGCCAGACACACGCGGTAGACACAAACACCCGTCAGATACAGGGGAGCCGCCACCGACCGTGCCAACTGAGTGATGCGCCAGAACCGCAGCGAGCTGTCTCGCCAGTATATTGAGCGCACTCAAGGCCCTACTACAACACCACTCCCAAAAGCACTCTCATCCAATGTCGAAAATCGACACTGACCGAATTAAACGTCACGTGCCGATGAGCAGGAAGTATTTCTTTTGACGGCCGTTAAAAGGTCCCTGTGGTGTCGGTCAGTTAAAGGGAATGTCTCATGTTTGAAAATATTGAAGCAAGCATCAGATATGATAAAACAAGCTCACTTATAACTAATTGTGTATTTTCTAAGTGGAAAAGACTCCTCTAGACAGCACAATTCTCTGTTCTGTAAATGTGTTCCTCAATGCATCATGGATTGACTACGTCATCGTACCTTGTACAACATTGATTGAGAGCCACTTGACGGCCGCTACATCTGGAAATCGCGCTCACAAACCTCAGATGTGAGCGCTTCGGACATCATTTCTTTCTTGGCCTTGGTCGCCGCATGGCTTATGGAATGGCAGGACTTGAATGACGTTATTCTGACGTCATGAATGCCAAGGTGGCTTTGAAATACTCTCCCCGATATACCTTTCCCACTTTCGCGGGCGTGTAGCTCAGAAACTAGAGGGGCTTTGGTTTTAAAAAGGGCATGATTGTGAACAGCACCAAAAGGTCTTCAAGATGGCTATTTCAGTCAAAACCCATATAAATGTGAAACACTCCCTTTAAAGACAATGTTCCACAGTTGCAGATATTGCAGCAGGCATCAGATATGATGAGATAAGGTCACTTAAAACTAACGCTATACTATTAAGAGGAGAAGACTGCCCTAGACAAACAATTTTCTGTTTAGTCAGCATGCTGGTCAATGCATTATTGTACTATTACGTCATCATGCCTTACACAGAAATGATTGAGAATCAATTGACGGCCGTTATCTGGAAATCGTACTCACAAACGCAGATATAAACGTGTCGACAATTATCATTTCTATTGGTCTTCATTACAGCATAGCTGATGGAATGACAGGATCCGAACGAATGTATTAAGGCGTCATGGATTTCCTAGGGGGGTTAAGGTTTCAAGAAAGGCAGGGCTGTGAACTGCACCGAACGATCTCCAAGACGGCTATCAGTTCCAAACCCCATACAAATGTGGAAGACTCCCTTTAATACAAGACCGGGTGGCCGGTGCTCGGACGGGGTCAATGTGGCCCTCTCAAAGCTCAGAAACTAAGTGATCTAGAGATACCAAATTCACAGCGTGAATGGGCCTGTATGTGAAATCACTTGTGTCAAAATTGCAAATCCCTTGGGCACGACCTGCCGGTCAGATAATGCTAAACAAGGTCAAATTTCAGATTGGCATCAAGTGCCCCCGGACCCCTCATGCAACCGTCTTGAACCTAAATACCTGTTTTAAGCAAAAGGTCAGTGGTGTTCATTTTAGGTTAGTAGCCCTGCAACGCCATTAGAATGCTATAGCAATCAAAAATTTATAATTTTATTTTGATTTTTAAAAACTCTAACGAACGTCAGGGATTACGCCAGGCGGTATGTTCTTAAAACAGGTTGATCTGGGTCATCTATGACATCTAAGAGGTCCATGGAAGACATGTTTTACAATACCTGTTATCAGGAAATTCAAAATGAGCAGCAGAAACTACTAAAAAAAACAAGCTCTCCAGTATAAAAGCAGACCGGTTTTGACCTTGTTTTGACCTTCATATCTGATCCCAGGTCAATGTAATTCGTCGTAATCATAAGATAAACTGCCAAATTGCCTAAAAAACTATCTCAGGGGTGTGTAGCTTCGTGTAACACTTCATTTTCGCATCGGATTGAACGATTCCCTTCAAATTGCCTTGGATTATAGCCGTGGCCTGACTTTGACCTGCCATTGGTCAGCAACCTAACAAGGTACGCCTTTCTATAAACCAAAAGACCTGCTTATCAAATACCTACAGATATGCAAAGTTTGGTGCGGCTACACCGACCTTTTCGAAAATTTTCTCAAAAGTCATTCATCACGCAAGCTCTACCAGCGCGGCGTGATTTCCTGAAGCCATTATGATTGCATATTGCATTCCGCAAGAACCCATGGAACATGGAGCATGGGTAGCAGCCTGTGTCAAAACAGCCTGAGATATTCCAGACCAAAATTGATTTCGCCCCACATTTGAGTTGTCGTTTGGCGAAAAGCAGAGAACTAGTATTCGTTTATGTTTTGTTGTTCAATCCGTTATAACCGTTTTCTTTGCCGGTCCATATGGGTTCACAGAAAACAGGAGATGGTCCGTGGTTGGCCCTCGTCCGCCTCCCATTAGTCCGCTGCATGCAGAGTATCTGCCGCCACGCTGGCAGGGGGTGAAGCTGTAACGTTAACGAAGGACTGAACGCATCCTATTGGAACAAACCCTCGTCCAAATCAAGCGTTGGAATGACATCAAAGACAGTGGTGAATTGGGATTGGAGAAATTTCAAAACGTGTCGAAGAATGCAAATTATAATCACATATCAACTGCAGGCTGTGCAGCTTTACGAAATGCGACTGAGACGCGCACAATTTCAGCTTTCTAGGATAAGCGTATAAGTAACTTAAAACAATTCTGGAGCCTAAAAATGCATCATCATGTATTAAAAGTAATGAATCCATTCCAATAAACCTGTGTTTTCCTTACGTTTTCAGCGTGCGTCACCACATACCAGGATACATGTTCAGTGTTTGTCACCATATGTCGGGAACACATGTTCAGCGTGTGTCACCATATGCCGGGAATGCATGCTCAGTGCGCGCCATCCATATGCCGGGGATACATGTTCAGCGTGTGCCACCATGTGCCGGGGATACATGTTCAGCGTGTGTCACCATACGCCGAGGATACATGTTCGGCATTTGTCACCATATGCCGGAAATACATGTTCAGCTTGTGTAACCATATGCCGGGGATACATGTTCAGCGTGTGTCACCATATTCCGGGAATACATGTTAAGCGTGCGTCACCATGTGCCGGGGATACATGTTCAACGTGTGTCATAATATGCCGGCGATGCATGTTTAGCGTGCGTCACAATAGGCCGGGGATACGTTTTCAGTATGCGTCACCATATGCTGGGGATTCATGTTCAGCGTGTGTCACCATATGCCAGGGATGCAAGCTCTCCAGGGCAAAAAAGACGGATTCCATTATTAGTTACGCGGAAGGTGTCAGTTTCTACCGATGGACGCTTCTTCAAAGACGGATTGCAACAAATGAAACAAGGTGTCCCACAGACTTGTGCTTGATTCGGTTTATGATCAGAATCCACCCGCGCCTGGCATTGGACTTCGGTTTACGAACCCTTGATTGGAATCTTTTCTACAAAAAGTTGTTCAGAATCAAGAGTGAGTCGACTCTGCGTCTCCACTCTCGGCTAAACCAATAACAAAAATGTAAACTTCTGAATTAGCTACATTTATGAAAGTTACCAGGTTTCCCAAGCAACACGACATTCCGGTCCATGTGCAAAATACACATTTCCAAAAGGATAACATGGCAGCAGCTTAACTAGTCTGGGAGTTATGCAGCACCACCCAGACTATACTCAAAGCCACTGCCTTCGCAAATCCCAATTTCCACCAAATCATTTATCCAGGCTTTCAACAAGATCATACACATTGGCACGGCACGTGCATACTGCTGGCACAACGCGTGTATGCGCAGCTCACAGGCAATAGCTAGCGATGATCGATACCCAGCATCCATGTCGGCCAGTTTGCACTTTTCAAAAAAGACATTTTAGTATAACTAGCTTACAAAAAATCAAATTAATTTGAAAGTTGTTGTTGGTTAATCATATAGGTACAGGCTAACTATGCTTGCTTCCATCAGATATGAATTTTCGCACGTAAAACCTATGTTGCTCGACCTTATGAATGGGCGCTTTGGTTACATTAGGATTTGGCCAGCTGAGTTTCTTGAACAACCGTTTTGGAAATAAGAAGTCAACAAAATATAGTGCTGTATGAAAAAGTTTAAGCTTTCACAACTTATAAATACAGAATGAATTGTGGTACGATCTTTGCACGGAATGTGCTTAAAGTTGCGATAGCAACGTCTATTGACTGCGTTAGCTAGCATGCTTACGTTTGGGCCATGGCTGCTTCTGAGCATCTCCGGAATGGGTGATCAAACATCAGCTGACCCGGAATTGTAATGATCTAGCCTGTTGGCGTCCACCTATTCGAATTATATACTTGGTTTGCTTCTTCCCACAGAACTGCTGACTTCCCACGGAGTTGCGTATTTAACGAACACCAACGTTTACACTGATGTGTCGCATGGCGTTCCGGACCGTGAGACCGAAAATGGGCAGACAATGACTAAAAAGACGAGAAATGCTCATCAAATCCAATATCAACACATTCGCCATTTGTCACATCACTGCTCT